AGATTGCGGGGTGAGGCCGCTCCGCTCCGGAGCGCCGCGATAGCGGCCGCTCCAGCCGCTATTGACTACTATGGTTTGAGGCCATAAAGACACCTTTGCAATTTGCAAACTAAACTAGACTCCCCTTGAGCAACAAACCAAGAGATTGCTCCATGTAAATCTCCTCCAGATCACCATGAAGAAAGACGTTTTTAATGTTTAATTGGTGTAGAGGCCAATGGTGAATAGTTGGCATAGAAAGAAAGAGATAAACTGTAGGAATCTTGGCCACAAGAGAGGTGTCACCATAATCTAGACCATAAATCTGAGTATATCACTTGGCCACCAATTTAGCTTTGAGTCGATCAACTGTACCATCAGGGCCAACTTTAATAGCATAGACCCATCTGCATCCAATTGATTGTTTCCTAGGAGGAACCGAGGAAGTGGAACTAGCTCTCATGTACCACTATGCTCAAGAGCTTGCATTTTTTGAGACCAAGAACTATAAGTTACAATTTGGAACGACTTGGATGACCCAAACGATCATGTCAACACAAGGTACAGGCAGTTCCAAAATAGTAGGGACCATTGGATTCATGTTCACCAATCTTCCAACCTGTACCACATTCATGAATAACAAAAGATTCAACATTAAAGATTATTGAACAATTTAAGGATTCGGTTAACTAACATAAAGAAATTAAATTGAAAAGGACAATTAAGGTTAGATTTGTTGTCTTCTCTTGGAAACCATGAAGAGAATAATAGTTCTCTTGGGTATGACCCATCCTCTTGCTGGATGAACATTGAGAACGACCACTTTTGCCTCCTTTTTCTCCTCAATTTCCATGACCACCTCTACCCTAACTAGAAACCATTGTAGAAGCTTCAACAATTTCAACAAAATTTTCATTCTTCACTTCAGTAGGAACATATAGATGTTTGGTTATTAGGTCGTTCATTGAGGAATCTCATGGCCAGGTAGAATTTGGTCACGAACCTGATTGAAATCTGAATGCAATGTTTTCAACATCAACACCATTTATAGCCTATCAACTTTTTTTTATTTATCCTTCTAATGAATCATCAGTGAGGAACATTTTAGTTCTTCTACAATAGCTTGGGCTTCAACAATGTGATGTCATATCATGATTTGTTTGTTTCAAGGAAGCTATTTTTTGATCAGCATCATACAACCACTGAAAATCATTTGCATAGTCTTTTTCCAAAAAGAGCAACAGGTTTTGACAGCTCCGAGGGTTCCCAAAATGTTTGGTTCAGTAGTTTGCCACAACACAACACAATTAAAAATCAAGGTTCTTCCATTTACCCCGACTTTCATCTGAACCCTCAATGTCTTCCTTTTCTAAGTGATTGTGGTGCCCTTGACCAAGGAACCATGGTTCTACATGGGCAGCCCATGATAAATAATTTTTACTATTGAGCTTCTTCATTATTATGGTGGGGGTACCAAAAATAGGCAAAATAGGGTCTGGAGATGCCATAAGAAAAAAGAGCGTGCAATAGAGATTAAAGAGAGAAGAACATAACCATGACCCAAACAATGGTCAAATCCAGAAACTAAATCCAGGAATAGATTTAGAAGGCTTCAATGAGCAAGGCGGTGGCAGAATGAGGAAGTTCTAACAAGTAGAAGGTTGCGCGTGAACAGTATGTGCTTGACAAAACATGATAAAGCAATGGTGCCATTTTGAGCATGTTAATGATCCTGTTTGGTTTGAGCATTATGTTAAGTTTAATGTATTTTATAGGTGTAGTTATTACCTTCTTTCTTTTGAGACAGCCTTTCACTGATGTTGGTGGCTGTATCAGGGATCAGACTGCTGTCTCCCCTTTTCTGTCTTATCTTGTACTTTCTAAACACACAGACACACACACACAGACACACACACACACACACACACACACACATATATATATATATATATATATAAATGTTTTGGAGCTAATTGTATAACACACACTTTAGCTTTTCTCTCATATTTCTTCAGTTTTCTCAACTCATTAGTAGTAGAATCCCATAGTTTTCATATAGGTAAAATTAATGGGACAAGTTTCATGTCTTGAATCAATCTAAAAAGGGTTCAAAATTGTGTCATAAAATTGAAAATGAATCTTTTTAAAGATAAAGGAATGAAACGAATTTTAGTGAAAAGACAAGGGACCTAAAGTAAATTTTAGCCTATTTTTCTGCTTATAATATGGGAATCTGTTGATCTTAGACAGGAAAAACATCTTTTCCTTTGTGTGGCTATATAATTCGAAGATAAAAAATTGAAACTTAAAAGTAAGATTCTGCTATATCTGGATGATAATTTGTCTGATGCAATCCTGTAACCAAATTTTGGCCTCATTATTCTTACCAGAGCATGAGAAACATAGAATGATAAATTGCTCTAGAATGATGTGAAATGTTTAGTGTTTATTAGCTACTCCAACCAATGTGTATGGTAATAAATTGTAACATGCTGATAACAGATTATTATACTGGGCATTGCAATGTTTTTATTGGACTCTGCATGGACTAGCTTATTACTTGTTATGGAAAAACCTTCATATCTCATTTTGTTTCTTGCTATTGGCCTTTTTTTGTTAATTTCTTTCAGAGAGTGACTCCTTGGAATACAGTCAAGTTAAGGAATGCTATCCTTAATGGTCCTGAATCTCATCCTGGTGCTACTCACTATGAAGATAAAGTATCAACAGTCAGGCTTCCACCAAAAGGGAAGTTGCTTTCTTTGACAGCAAGGAAATTACCATCCTCAAGAGGGGTTATTTTGCAACATGGGAAGATAGCTGACCATGAATTTGAAGGGAAAGTTGTGTATCGTCACTTGAAGGATGGTGACGTTGTGCTTGTCAATCGACAGGTAATGCATTGTCTAATCATATGTATTTTAGCAAAATGCAATATACTCATTGTGGTACTGTCTTTCATTCCTTTAGGATATTTTTGGGTAATGAAGAAACAAAGTATCTATTTATGACATTAGAATCCTGGATTTATGCTGTTTGATTTGATGACAATTTTGTGAATATATTCTGTTGCAGCCAACACTCCATAAACCTAGCATAATGGCACATATAGTTCGCGTTCTAAAGGGGGAGAAAACTGTACGCATGCACTATGCAAACTGTAGGTAATATATATATGCTCTTAGTTTCTGAGCTTGTTGTGGTTGTGGTACAAATTATGTATTAATGCATTTGATTATTTGTGACATCTCACATTGATTAGCTATCATGAAAAACTCATTTTGATGCATTCATATGCATTATATCTCTGCTTTATAGGTTTGGTAAAGTCAATAACTTTTTGTTAATTGTTTTTTCCCATGATCTCAGTACTTACAATGCTGATTTTGATGGTGATGAGATTAATGTTCATTTTCCACAAGATGAAATTTCTCGGGCTGAAGCTTACAATATAGTAAATGCTAACAATCAATATGTGAAACCTACTAGTGGCGATCCAATCAGAGCTTTGATTCAGGTATTTGCATGGATTATATATTTTAAAAGGGGCTCAGTGCTGCAGGGCATAAGGATGCCTTCATTGTTGAGCCTCATCTTCTGTTTGCTTAATTAGTTGATGTACTTTACTTACAAAGGTTTTTCTTTTGGGTGATTTCCTGACATTTTTTTTTCTTCCATTTTGAACTATTTTTCCAGGATCATATTGTAAGTGCTGCTCTTCTTACCAAAAAGGATACATTTCTAAGTTATGAAGAGTTCAATCAACTGCTCTACAGTTCTGGTGTATCCATGGCTGGGCTAGGTTCATTCTATGGAAAACATGGGCAGAAGGTTTTCGTGTCAAATTCTGAAAGTGAAATGTTTCTGTTTCCTCCGGCAATATGGAGGCCTGAACCCCTATGGACTGGAAAACAGGTTGCTATCTGTTAGTATTAAATTTGATACTTTCTTGCTTATCTAAATAAACAAGCAGAGCGATTTTCCCTCTCTTGTATTATCTCATATAATTTATTAAACTATGGAATCAGTATGTCTTTTGTCTTAAATCCTGTTTCCTATTTTTCTTATTGGGTATGATCTTCATTTTGAATGAAACAATGGTTTTATTAAGTAAAATTGGTCTCTTTTGTTTTTCTAGGTTATCAGTGCATTGCTCTGCTATATCACCAGAGGTTCACCACCATTCACAGTTGAGAAGAATACAAAAATCCCCCCTAATTTTTTCAAGACTCAAATCAGAGAGGGAAAACGATACAATCTAGATACATCAAGAAAGAAGGATGAGCCTGATGAGGATAAGTTATTGATATATAAAAATGATTTGGTTCGGGGTGTAGTTGATAAGGCTCAATTTGGTGACTATGGTATAATACATACAGTGCAAGAACTTTATGGATCTAATGTTGCTGGAAACCTACTTTCAGCATTAAGTCGGTTGTTCACTACCTTTTTGCAGGTTAACTACCATTTCATTAGTTTTGCAATTGTGACATGCTTTTTAGTATTTACTTAGCCCATATTCTTTCATGGTTCTGAATTGTTGTGTCTTTCAGATGCATGGGTTCACATGTGGAGTAGATGATCTTATGATAACAGAAGGAAAGGATATTGAAAGAATGAATCAACTCAAAAGTTGTGAGGAAATTGGTGACATTGTTCATCGAGAATTTACTGGAGTGATGGATAATGATAATATAGGTAACTGATAATATTAATTTATGCAAATCACATGTTTCTAATATAATATCCTATTTCCTGATATGATAACATTTTAATATTCCATTTCCAGATATGATAACATTTATGGATTGCTTTTAATTGGTGAATTGCTATTTTTATATTTTATATTTAATAGATTTTTCCCTGAATTTAACACTTTGTAGTTTATTGAATGCCTTAACTTCTTGATGTCAGAAAACAGAAATTACCACCGTGACTCTTTACTATCCTAGTATAGTACAATTCCTTATATACAAGTAGCTTCTGAATTATTGTTCTTCCCTTTACTGTGTTGCATTTACTTCTTCATGCCATTAGTTTCTTCAGTGACGCAGAATATAATCAATTAATCAATATATATCTGAACCGAAACAAACTGAATTGGACTGGTGTTAACTGAAGTGTATACTGAGGGGTTGCAGTCTTGCCGATGCTTGAGTTTTCAAAATATCATCGTCTGTTAAGGATGCTACTGAGAAATATCTTCTAACATTTTTATTCATAAACAATATTTTGACCTGTTTAATTTGTGCACTTTTAAAAGAGCAACCCAGTGGGCTCCAACCTAGTGGTTTTCTTCTCTTTTTTTTTTTAGTTGGGGGTGGGG